AGCAAGCTGCTTATTGGTTTTTGTTCTTAAAGACAGAAGAATCCTCTACTGGAATAGCAAGCACTCTGCAAGGCACTGCCTGATCCACAGAGGGAATAGACCACCCTTGCATAACATCCTCTTCAAATGGATAAAAGGATAATACACACTTTAGGGGGAAGTAAACAGATTATCAGACTTCCAGTTTTCATAGACAAATCGTTAGAAAAATGGGTGTAAAGGGAAAGTGTCTGGGGCTTTGGGAGTTTTAAACAACCCAAGGCTGGAACCACTACTTGTAAGTAGTAGGATAGTCCTCAAGTTTTGGAATGGTACATGCCACATAAATTAGAGCTAAAGTGGTACCTTCAATCTGGGAGTAGAGTGGATTGAGACAACTTGATTATGCTCATCAGTCATGGAGAGGAGCAACTCACTGTCTTTGTGGCCAATGGCTCAGATGTAGCTAAGGCCCCAGACAAATCAGATATACAATCTGAAGCAGAGAGCATGGGGGCGTGATTGTGTCCTCTGCAATCAGAGTTCACAGATAAGTGGGTGGTTTGGATTATTAAATTGTGCATGATCATGGTAAAGAAAACCTTACCCTAGACAGGAGCAGATCCAGCTACACACCTTACTGAGCCAAATAGGTCTCCAAAATTGGTACTGACTCCAAGAGTAGAGGAGAACAGTTTAAGACTGCAGATATCAGCATCATCAGTGGGGGTGGTAAGCAGAAACGGTCTTCTATGGCTTTTTTTTTTGTAGGGTTTGGTTGAAGCTGGTTCATTATCATACTTGAAAATGAAGCGGTTTCACCACAGCTTATATGCCCAGGGGCGGACTGACCATTTGGAAACTTGGGCACTGCCTGAGGGCCCGGGGTCAGTAGGGGGCCCCATGAGATGCCCCTGGTACCTTTTTCATAGGCTTTTTTGAGTTTGGCCAAGGACACAGGGGCTCCATGATCCCCTATTGCCCAGGGGCCCCATGAGTTGTCAGTCTGCCCCTGTATAAACTTTGTAGCATTCTTTAACCAATTGCTGCCCAAGATATGTATATAAATGTCCTCTCAGCAAGTTCTTATTACAAGATCATGGCTGCAGCTGCAATCTCTAAAGTGCATGTAACCCTTAAAGGTGCATCTAAACCCAAGAATGTAATATAGTGTAGCTCACTAGTTCCTTGGTGTGGTGGCATCATTCAAGTTCTTTTTTTCAAAGCTTCTTTTACTTTATTTTCACTGCAAATAACACTTCCTGTCCCTGGGTGGCTACATTATTCCTCCACTTTATCTATGGAGAGAGCCATGGTTGTCACACTAGGTTGCTCTCCTGATATGACTACAGACCCCCATCTTTATTACACGAGGGGCAGGGCAACCAGTCGATTACAGATGATACGTGGAAACAACTATTTATCTTAAATTCATTTTTTTTTTTTAATGCCAAAATGCTGCTGCCAGGAGGAAAGGTGTCTAGGAGAGATGGCCAAATGTCCAGTGTGCATGATGCCCAAGTGTTCATTTTTTCAGTATATAAGTAAAAAGGAACAAACATGCAATGTCACTTTTCTGGCACCAAGTAACTTGATTTTTGGTGACTGTTTTTCAATTTCTTGGTCTATTTGGATGCTGCATTGAGTGGCTGTTGGATGTTCATGTGTTGGTACTACTTCAATATATACACACTGCTCAAGAAAATGAAAGGAACATTTTTTTAATCAGAGTATAGCATCAAGTCAGTTAAACTCCTGGGATATTGATCTGGTCAGTTAAGTAGCAAAGGGGGTTGTTAATCAGTTTCAGCTGCTTTGGTATTAATGAAATTAACAGGTGCACTAGATGGGTAACAATGAGACGGCCCCCTAAACAAGAATGGTTTTACAGGTGGAGGCCACTGACATTTTTTCCCTACTCATCTTTTCTGTTATTCACTAGTTTTGCATTTGGCTAGGGTCAGTGTCACTACTGGTAGCATGAGGCAATAACTGAACCCTACAGAGTTTTCACAGGCAGTCCAACTCCTCCAGGATGGCACATCAGTACGTGCCATTGCCAGAAGGTTGCTATGTCTCCCAGCACAATCTAAGGACACATGAGGAGATTCTAGGAGACAGGCAGTTACTCTAGGAGAGTTGGACAGGGCCGTAAAAGGTCCCTAACCCATCAGCAGGGCGGTATCTGCTCCTTTGTGCAAGGAGGAACAGGATGAGCACTGCTAGAGCCCGACAAAATGACCTCCAGCAGGCCACTGGTGTGAATGTCTCTGACCAATCAGAAACAGACTTCATGAGGATGGCCTGAGGGCCCAACGTCCTCTAGTGCGTCCTGTGCTCACTACCAGCACACCATAGAGCTCGATTGGCATTTGCCATTGAACACTAGAATTGGCAGGTCCTCCACTGGTGCCCCGTGATTTTCACAGATGAGCAAATTCACCCTGAGCACCTGACAGATGTGAAAGGGTCTGCAGAAGTCATGGAGAATGTTATGCTGCCATTAGGTATCAGGATGAAATACATGGACTCATTATCAGACCCTACGCTGGTGCAGCAGGTCCTGGGTTCTACTGGTGCACGACAATGCCCAGCCTCATGTGGCGAGAGTATGCAGGCAGTTCCTGTAAGAGGAAAAAATTGATACCATCGAATGGTCCCCACGCTCACCTGACCTAAATCCAATAGAACACCTCTGAGATCATGTTTCGGTCCATCTGAAGCCGCCAGGTTGAACCTCAGACTGTTGTGACGTTGTCAGGGATGAATACAAGCACGTGGGGGCCATAAAAACTACTGGAGTACCATTTTGAGTTGCTGCAATGAAATTTCAGCAAAATGAAGTAGCCTGCTGCATTTTTTCACTTTGATTTTCCAGGTGTCTTTGATTTCAGTCCCCTGTAGGTTGAGTTTTAATTTCCATCAAATGATGAGGCACCCTTACGTTCCTAAAATATTACCCAGTCCATATCAGTATTGATATCCAAGCATGATAATTTTTCTCATTTGAGATCTGGTGTGCTTTCAAAGTGTTCATTTTTTTTTTTTTTTTTTTTTTGTGTGTGTATATATCTATATCTCATTACAACTGTTGGTTTATGTGGTGTGAACTTTGGAGGCAGTATACAATATTCATTTGGCATCTGAATGGACAATTAGCAGGTAAAGCCCCCAACATGTCGGCTTTGATGGTTTATAATGGCATAGCTGAGTCTGGTTATGCTATGAATTTATTTTGACTTTTATCCATCTTCCTTACTTTTTGCCCACTGTGATCATTCCTCTGGCTTATTAGTTCAGGTGGATTATATATAATATATACACACATGCACATAAGCTCCCCCCCCAGCGGATTTTCCAACAGGAATAAGGAAATAAAAATATATTTTTATTTGCTGGTCTATATAAACCTTCCCTTAAGTGGATCCAGTGTTTAGTTATGCGTGGTTTAGGTTTTTTGCTTTTTAGATCTCCATGGAGGAATTTATCCATGCAGCTATACATGTTACACTGTATGTCAGATTGGATGGTCTATTAGTCTTTGGATATGGTTTAATACCATTTATTTCCTTTTATAAATCCAGCCCCTTGCAGCATTTGTTGGCATCCATCTGTGTCCACTGCAGGGATGAATGTGGAGTGAATGCATCCATGAGGGGTTATTTTAACCTTTGCAAGTTGAAATTTGTTATTTTGTCTTATGACTTTTCTTTTTCTTGGATCCTGGTAGGATTTTATTTTTCTGGCACAAGCCATCCATTTCAAGTCTCCTGAAGACAAATACATTTGAAACGTGTTGCAGAAGCATTCACAAATCAGAGTTTCTTCACAACCCCCTCTGTGGATTGAGTTTGATGATTGTTATGTGATGTTTTATTAATGGCTTTAATCACTGTGACCTTTAGTCTGCTTTTAAACCATTGTATAATAAAATGTATGCATGTTAATGTTTGTGATGCCTATAAATTTCCATCCATTGTTTAGCTCTTCTTCACTTACACGCCTTAGATGTGCTGGCTTCCTTTAGTTCACTGTGTTTTTCCCTAGCCAAGAACATTTTTCCAGCAAATAGATAATACCTCAATCTTGAAAAGGGACGCAGCTGCAAGCATCATCCCAGTACAACCACTTAATGCCAAACGACATCAACATTTAAAGCGCTATTAATCCCCAAAACTAAAACTGTGACGCTGCAGCTCAGCAACAGATGTGAGGAGTGCATTAGTGTAAATTCTCAGTTTGTTAAATTTTGTTTATTTTCACCTGGTGACCCAGCAAGTGTGTGATTTCTCAACTTATTTTAATAGACCAAGCTGTCCATACACAGTAGCAATTAGAGGGTTGAGACAAACCATTTACCACTGACAGGTATTTAATGGTCAGCTTTTATTCATTTATGTAAAACTATTATTGCAAAATGGAGGGGGGGGGGGGGGGGGGAAAGAAAAAAAAAAAAAAAAAAAAAAAAAAGTTTGCAGCAACAAATTATAAAGTGTTAACTGGTGTTCAGCTTCAATTTGTTAGTCAAGTCTATCAAAGTGCACTAGTCTATACTACCCTCTTCCCAGACTGCCAATGCTGCTGTCCAAAAGGTGTCTGCTTACTTCATCCAGACTGCAGACACCCAAAGACAGAAGTGTGTTACTGGCTGGATCACCAGGTGAAATAAAAAGGGGGAAGCCTACAAAAAAAAAAAAAAAACTAATGCAGCCACTACATCCAAAACCTGATAACCTGCAATATTACATTTCTGGTTTTCAATATTTTAACTTCCCACTCACTAGTCCACAACATTTTGGTACATACATTGCTTTAAGGCAGCACAGTTATTTTAATTTTAAATATAGCCCCACAAAGGTTTTTTCAATAACCTTCTGAAGTGTTGAACTGCATTCTTCCCCACAGCAACTGTACAACACTAGTAAATAAGGGGTTTTGAAAACATTCAGGACAATTAATGCTCATTTTTTTCACAAATAATTTTATTTGACCAGAAAACAAGGAGCGAGTTTTTGACTTGCTTAAAAGAAGGTGTTTGGTCTCTTGGTGGTGAAGCGGGGCTTGTGCTGGCGACGCAGAACCCTGTGTGGTAGAGGGAACTTGATCTTTGAGTCCTAAAAAAAAAAAAAAAAGTCAATCATTTGCTTTGTTTACATTATATTATGCGATACAACTAAACTTAACCACTTCACGACAGAGGTACACATATGTGGCCTTTCAGTGGGTGGGCTTTAACACTGAGATGCCCTAAAAGGAAACTTTTCTGTGCCGAGTGCGGGCCCTGCACACTGCACCAGCAGTTACAGGCAGGGATCAGAGAGTGGAGGGGAAAGAAAAAAAAAAACAAAAAAAAAAAAAAACTTGGTGCATAGTTACGATTGTGAGCTTACTGATCATTTGACAGCCAATCACAGCACTCATGACTGGAAAGGCTGCCTCATGGCATTTAAAAGCTCTTAAAAGGGCCAGTTGGTGTTTGTGGGAAGGGGTTAAGAGTCCCAGTAATCTCCATGCTATATCCTTATAAGGGTAAACTACCCAGCACAACATTATACATTTAAAACCAGTCTGCAGCAGTGAAATGCTTAACAAAATTTTTGACAGAAAATTTTGTAAGTAAATATGTACATAAAAGGCAAAAAAAACAGTGTTGCAGAGAATCAAGTGTCATTGTTTGAGTTGCACATGTGTGCTCAATAGGATAGTCTCTTGTTCTACCTATCGCAGTGCTTCTCGAAGCCTCAATCAGGTAAAACTGAACCTTTGATGTTCCATCACAAATTAACTAATCCGCCATCTAGCGGTGCACCCTGGAAGCAAATCTTAAAACCCTATGTGGTTTAAAATCTCTTCTTTGAATGAAAGGGCTAAACAGCATCCATGCAATGGAAGCGAGAAATCTTCAGTGTAACATTTTGTGCCTCCAAGAGGGCAGTCTCTTGTACTTTAAGGACGTGTTCACACAGAACTTTTTAATCCATGCCCATGCAGGGCCATGTTTTACTTGAGCGGCGATGCACAGCTGTTGTGCATCCACATGCTGACAGTCCCACTGCTGTCAATTGGGACACAGCACCTGCATGGACATAGCTGCTGCTGCTGGGTGCATTAGGGGCCAAACACCCACACCAATATATTGGGAGCAGTGGCTGTGTCCATGCAGCCACTGTGTCCCAACTGACAGCAACGGGACTGTCTGCACAGGTATGCATCAAAACCTGTGGATCCTCCTGCCACTAAGCATGGGACACAGACTAAAAACATCCTGTGTGAATGAAGCCTTGTTTGCTCTACAAGTAATTCAACATTTCATTTCAAGTGGTCACAGTTCAAAACCCTTACTTTTGTTACCATTACTATTTAAAACTAAAATGAATGTTTTAATTTGCCTGTAAAGATAAAATACCTGCCTCTCCCTCTGCTCAAGCCACCCAATGTTGCTCTGATCAATAGGAAAGGCTGACTGAAATACTCAAGTGTGTTGATCTTTTGAGTTAACAGTAGTCAATGGTTCCTTCACTGACTGCTACGTCAAAACTGTCTCGTGATGACATTGAGGTCAGCAGGAAGAGCCCATGAGGGCATCGGGGACAAACACTCCCAGAAGTGTTTCTGCAAAGCCAGCAATTCCCTCTTTATCAGAGTGACAAAAGCATAAGGAAAGTATTTACATTTACCTCTACTGGTACAGTTTTAATGTGGTCAATCTTCTTTGCTTTGTTCTTGCAGGACAAAGCAACAGGATAACTGTATCCCCTGGTCCTCCAAGCAGCATATATTTTCTTTCCTACACTCCCTTGCTGCCAGAAGCAAGGGAAGCTCTGATATAAGCTTAGGAGGTACCTGCCATTCCCATTTCACCCATGTGATAATGTTGGTGCTTTGTGACTGGCCTTGCACTGTAAACCAAGAGACAGCTGTGCTTAAGCACTGAGTGAAAATCCAACTAGGAGCATACGTTTGTTTTTCTTACTCTTGGTGGCTAAAGGGAGCAAAAGAAAGGAAAAAGCACAGCCACACAGGCTACAGACACAAGTTCCAAAATATGCTGCAGCAACTAGTGAAATGAATTACCCATGTACAGACTTGGTACAAAAGACTTCACATTTGTATGAAAACTAGTGTTCACCAAAAACAGGTCTATAAAATGATCAATATCATGCTTTTGTTCCTTCTTATAGAAAGGACAGAATAGGCCTTCCATGTTCTATATGGTTACAATGGTTCCTACTTACGTGGAACTGCTTGATGGCAGGTCTGCGACACTTGTTGGCAGGAATCACCTCAACCTTCATGATCTGAATAGCATGGGCACGAGCACGATGGCGAGCACCCATGTCACGGTCTAGAGAAGAGTAGAGCTTATAAATTATTGTGAGCTTTTTGTTTTCTAACACTTACATGAAATTACGGTGCTGGATGCATAATGTGAAGGTCCACTGAAGAACATTCTAAATATCAAGAACTGACCATCTTATACAATGTGTGGCATTCACCAGTGCCTGCAAACCCTAAACTGACACTGGTAGTAGTTCAGGTCATATCACTTCTCCAGCTTTACAGAGTCCAGGCAAAAGCCGACAAAAGACTCATGGATTTTGGCTTTGGCACTTAGACTTAAACACGTGGATTCTTAATTCTTTGTAAACCCATTACAAAAAGGGAACTGCTGATCTGTGGAGAACCGCCTAACCAGAGCTAATGTGCACAGTGAATTTAATGCGCATACCAAAGTGTAACCTACACCTCATTTTTACCTTTAACAGCAAAATCTGACAGCTAAAAGTGCACTCCCAGCCAAATGGGGAATGTAAATCTACATACATCTTGTGGCTAAAAATTAAATGTTCTATCTGCCCCACACGACTCAAAGTTGCAAATAATACCAACTAAGATACACAGCAAGCACTTAATAGATTCCCACCTGTACAGGTACAGACAGCATCTGAGACCTATGCATGTCAGCACATATCTTTCAAGCATGTCAAAGTCTTACATGCACCCAATACATTCTGATTGCTGCTACCTCCACCTACAGTGACAATTGTATTACTCTTGGCATCACCTAAAGGTCAGTCTAAAAAGTATTATAGACTTATGAAATTATAAGTGCCATTTGCTTTTCTCAAATCTAGATAAGCAGACTTCATGGCACGTTAGCACCTTCCGAGCGCCAAGCCTGTACTGAAAAATGCATCAAAACATCGCTGTGTGCCATTTTGATTTCAAATCAGCAAGCTGTAGAGTTTTAGGCCCTGCTGAGAAACATCTCAGACCTAGTTATATTGCCCAGCACAGGCATCTGAGTCACAACACTGTAGAGAATTGAACTCTTGGGATGTAAAATAGTGCCTGAATATATTTTACTGTATCATCAGCCTGTAGTTGAGTTTATATTTCTTATGAGAGGCAATTATTCTACTATGCCTCAAATATATCTTGCAGTAATCCTTTAAAACCTTATAGCTCAGTCATGCACATTGGAGGTACAGAGCTTTTCCAGGCAAGGGAAAATGAGCTTTAGTTTCCCTTGTGGAATCTTTGTGGAGTGATTTGGCAAAATTGCCCTGGCTGTTTATTCTTAACCAGCCATTGGTTTGATTAAACTGATCCTTTCATCCACACAAAAGTAGATGAAGGAATCCCCCTGCCAGGATCTTGTATATCCGGCAGCAGGACTCTCCACTGTCAGAGTACACTACAGCCACTGAATGACAAAGGTTTTTAAAACAATCCCAATAACAGACCTTTTTGTACATACAAAATATATGCATTACTACAAGGTTTGCCATAAACTATTAAAGTAACAAAATCAAAAGTATGGGGATTATAAAAATAAATCTCATGAATGCCCATTTTAGGGCAGCATTTAAATTTTGAGGTAAAGTTCTGTGATTGCAAAAATTGTATGTACAAAATCCTAAAGTAACTACTTACAGCACTGTGTCACAGCACCAGCTGTAGTCAAGTCTCTATACTCTCTGTACATATTGTGTGTTCCACTACGGGAGTCATAGCGTAGCCAGATGCCAAAGTTCTTCACTTTTAGTGGTGATTTCTCAAAAACCTGGAAAAGTAATTAGGGAGAAAAAAAAAAACAAAATGTATCAATCTATGCATAAGATCTAATTGACGTTACATAGCAAAATGTTTCATTTTCTTGTGCAATGTCCCTGAAGAAAGTGTTTAGCTATGCTACAAAAAACAAGACAAAGTGACTATGTAGCCATTTAATAAACTAAGCCCAGGGTGATAGATAATATATATCTCTATAATCTATCTATATATTTATTACACACATACATACAAAAAAAAAAAAAAAAATTTTGCATTCAACACTTCTGGGACTTCCCAGTGCCTCGTCTCCTCCTTCACCAGCGGTCCCCACTGCCATCCCCTACATCACTGGGCCCTGTAGAGACATAGGGACCACTGGATGGAATGGCTGCACAGCAGTGGTCAGGCATTCAACAGTCCTAGATATGCAGGTTGCTGAAGAATTTACAACAAGCCTATTTCTTGTGGAGTGGTTAAACTGTGAGGGTGGCACAATATTTTCAATGCAGGCTGGACTTTTTTTTTTTTTTTTTTTATAGCCAACATAAGGGATGATTTACTAAAACTGGAGAGTGCAAATATGATGCAGATATGCATGGTAGCCTGTCGGCTTCTAACTTCATCTTCAATAAGTTCAAACTTCAATTAAAAAAAAAAACAAAAACACACAACTGAAAGCTAATTTGTTTCTATGCAGACCTGCACCAGATTTTGCACGCTACCGTTTTAGTAAATCAACCCCATAGTGTCCATGTGCAAGCTGTAACCAATTAACTACCATGTCATACCACCAGAAAGCCATGTTTCACACAACTAAGGAAAATTAAAAAAAAAAAAAAAAAAAAAATCAAGATTAAACAAAATGAATATATGGTGACAACCACCACCTAAAAGTGAACATTCACAAGAGTTAAGTGTAGAACTTTTAAACTTCACTTTCATGGGCACATGAGCTCCTGAAAGGCGACAAAGTCCTATTGCTGTGTGCACACCAGACAAGATTATTACACAGAATAATAATCTTTGGGTTTTGTGTGCACCCTGACAGATTCTGTGCTGTCAAAGTTATGTTCAATAAGTGATCTTCATTGCACAATAACACCAAGCTGTATTCTTTATAAAGAAGAATTTAAGAGAAAAAAAAAAAAAAAAAACAACCAACCACAAAGTAGTTATTGACTATGTTGCATTTCCGATTACTTACTTGTCCACAGTATACAATCTCTCCAGATGCCTTCTTCATCTTTTTCAGTTGAGACACAAAATACCAAAAACGAGACTTTGCAACAACATGGTTGGGTGCGAAAATTCGCATACGGTAAAGAGGTGGAACAGGTGCCTTAGCAGTAGGCAGACTGCGCCCGATGACTTTGTACTCCCTTAGCTAAAAAACAAAAAAAAAACCCACAGAATGGTTACTAATAACATTATATTTGAATACAAAAGTATTTCCATTTTTATGGTTAATGGAAAAGCCGTAACATACACAGTAAAATTCTGAAACCTTAGAACGAATGGATTTCTGCACAAATTTAAAAAAAAGTCACGAGTCATGACAAAAACATTTTACTATTTAGCGGCTCAAACAAACTAGTGACCACCTGCTTCACAAGAGAAATACAATGTATGCGCAATATAATCTGAAGATAGAAAATTAAAAAAACCCTGAAGTGTCCTAAGATTGGAAAGGGTTATAAGGATTTCTACAGACATAGGCCTTTATTAGTCAGGCAATTAAGAAAGTTGCTGCTGCTCTCCCTATACCTGATGAAGGCCCAAGCCTTTAGAAACACCAAACCATCATATGCCTACTATAATGTGTCAAGTAAAATGTGTGTGGCTGTTTCAATGTATTAAGGCTTAGAAGCTTGGTCATCAAGGACCCACATAATTCCTAGGGAAAATACCAGAATGCTGGATCTAAAAGCCAGATGTCAGATCATGCAATGCAAACTAAAACAGAATGCCTTGGGGGAAAATCCTTATTTCAGAAGGGGCAAGTCACCCTGACATTATACCCACTGTGGAGTGAACTGAAAAATCATGCCTTCCAACCAAGATGCTACAAAAGAGATTTCCCCGCTTTTTACTGCATATTTGGGTTCACGTTGTTTTACCATAAACACTGAATAAACTATTTGAAGATTAGATATATTAATACCATCTCTTCACTTCCTACTCCATGTACTGCCATAGAAAGAGGACAGAAGAGTTCAAAGAGGAAGTCCACTCTAGAACTCGTACCTAAAGGTAAGCCTATAATAAGGCACTGTTTAGGAGGCATTCATATAACATGACGTCACCGGCACATGTGCTCTGAAGGTACGGCATATCGTGCCAGACCTTCAGAGCTCCGTTCCATAGCTGAGGGCTCCTGCATGGGAGTGATGTCATCACGGCCGTGGCCATTCATACGGTCAGAGCCTGCAAGACTGGGTGAATATGGCAGCGCAGGGGAGCCATGACAGCATTGCGCTGGAGGGCTGTGTAAAGGCAAGTCTGTCATAATGTACTAGTATATTATGACATAAAGGGGCCCATTTTTTTTTCTTATGCTTCACTACCACTTTAACTACTTTCCCTCCAGAAAATGTACCCCCTCCCTTCCTGAGCAGGCCATTTTTTGCGATATGGAAATGCGTTACTTTGACAATCGTGCAGTCATGCAACGCTGTACCCAAATGAGCAGACAGCGGTGACCGACAGGTAATCCACCTAGTGAAGTATAATTTGGGGGGGGGGGGGGAAACCCTCATACTTCTTTTAAAAGTGTTGCTGTATAACTCTGTATACTCACACTTAAAATGTACATTTTTTTCCTCTTTATTTTCATCCAAATCTTTTCATAAACCAAAGGCGTACCATTTTGACCTCTCACCAAACGTACCGGTAAATCGGACAGATTTTTCCTCATTCCCACAGACTTCCCTCACCACCCCCAGGATTTTACATTCTGACTCTGTTTTAGGGCCAATTCATATCACATGCAGTCCAGTGCGTTTTTTTTTTTAAATAAAAAAAAAACGCATGGAGAGTAGGTTATATGATTTCCAGCAGCATAATTCATACCACTGCATTCCAGTTACAGGGGGAAAAAAAAAATTAGTAAAAAAAACGCACTGAATTTTTCCTGCACTGGAATACAGTAAAACACACAAGTGACACACTGGACCCTAGTATAGTGGAGGAAAAAGATTTAAAAAAAAAAAAAAAAAAAAAAAAAGCGCATTTGGAAACAAAAAAAAAGAAAAATGCTCAGCATCTAGAAATGCCTGGAGTGCGTTTTGTGGTGTTAATCAGCCCTTAAAACTGTAATAAAGTATGCCTTTTAATGTATACATGCAGCCTGAGCTGCTTGTAGCCATATGTATTATACATACAGGCAAGCCTAGGATAAAGCTTACCTGTAGGTACAGTAAATATCTCCTAAGTGTGCACCGTTTCAAAGATAGTTACATGCATAGCAGCCAGTTATGTCATCAACACATGCACTCTCAGTGGATGACATGCTTTCCATCGAGAGAGCTGTAGTGCAGCCATGACTCCCGTGCGGAAGTGACATTGTGGCTCAGGCAAACAGCCAGAGCCTGTGAACCCAAAAGGAAGACCAGGTGAAGATGGAAGCCCTACCAGTGGTGACAGTGTGCCGCTGGAGGACTTTGTTTTAAGGCAAGTCTGTCATAATGTATTAGTATGTGATGAATACTAGCACACTACGACACTCACTGTCTTGCAGAGGCCCACTGTTTTTTTTTGTATGTGGTTTAATAACACTTTAAACCACAGAACATCTCAATGCCTGCTTAAAGCAATTCAAATGGTTCATTTTTTTTTTTGGGGGGGGGGGGTTAAAAGTAAACAGGTCTATACTTACCTGCTGCGCAGTGGTTTTGCACAGAGCAACCTGGATCCTCCTCTTCTCGGATCCCACGCAGGCTCTCCTGTCTGTTGGGTGCCCCCACAGCAAGCAGCAGCTTGCTATGGGACCACCCTGTCCATTCACATGGAGCTGTGGCTTGGCACCGCATCCTCTCTCATTGGCTGACTATGAGGAGGCAGAGACCTTGGACAGCTGAGGCTGTCATTCTTCAGATAAGTATTGAGGGGGCTGGGGGAGATGCTGCACACAGGTTTTTTACCTTCATGTATAGAATGCATGGTATTAATATATCTAATCTTCAAATACTTTATTCAATGTTTTGATGGTAAAAAAAAACCTTAGGCAACCACTTTAAAGCTAGTCAGTCATGGAGCACATTTAGTCCTGTTGAACTGGCCAAATGGCAAGCTGTGGGTGGCCCTGTTGGCTCCCTCCTGACTGGCCTTCTATCTGAAATATGTGCCGCTAAACAAGCCTCACGTCCAATCAGATGCAGGTGTAGCAGCAAGATGTGTCTCCCTATGTAGATATATCCCCCTAAAACAACTGCGCATGTCACGGTTTTAGGCACAAGAAGGCGATCGCCGATCACCAACTGTAGCTGCCAGTTAACCCCTTTTATGCTGCACCGCTGATTACACCATGTATTTCATGTACACCTGAAATGATTCGGCCTGTATACCGTGCAGATCAGTCAGCATGCAAGTGTTAAATGACTCGTCCTGCCAATCCTGTCTGTGTCATGGAAGGGATTACTTCACAAAAGGTACATGGTCAGATACAGTAGTTCTATAATCAATTCATCGTGCCTGAAACCGTGACATGCAGGGGGACATATCTACATGGGGAGACATCTTGCCGCTACACAGGCACCGTTCGGGTATTCCAACATAAACCTGTAAAGGTGGCAGCAATACCTGAGCCCTCCTATAAATGTCAATAGCCTGGCTGTCACACCAATTCAGGCCTTGCTGTCCTAAAATGGACAAGGTGGTAACATCCCACAACCTCATTCCGATATCACAACGGAAAGGAAGGGGTTAAAAAATCAATGAGGGGGGGGAGGAAGCTGCAGCGCATGGTGGCGCCCATGTGTACATATACAAGGCGGCTTGTGCAGCACTGCATAGGCCAGTGCAGTCCCTGGCCGCCCTCAGGCCTCTCATCCCCGGCCTGGAGTCTAGGGCTCTTCCACACCGTTCTTTCGAGGTCACACAAGACCAAGTAGAAGCGGCTTATTCTCCACACACCATCCCTCCTCGGAGAGCCCAGCGCCCACCCAGCCCCGGCCGCATGGCTGAACTAGAAGCCGCCATGATGTAGGCCACAAGCGGAGCCAGCTCCTTATAAAGTCACAAAGCACCGGTCGGTGTCGTAGAGGGAGGCTGCCACTCTCTGGGGGCCCCAGGAGCACATTCCGCCTGCCTCCACTCCCGCCCAGCCCCTCCAGGCCGCTGTACGCCGACAATCCTTACAGTGCCGGACGCCTTCATGCTGCCTCGATCCCTGCCGCCGAGCGAAAGGAAGTGGAGAGGCCAGAGCTGCCATACGTCACCCAGCACATGTAAGCCTATTGGACGTCGGAGAGCTGAGTGTGTTCATTGGACGAGCCGACAGTCAGTCATTCTCTGCCAGCTAGACCCGAGAAGCAGAGTTTACATGCTGTATATGTGATTGGTGGTTGGCGCTCAGATATACCTGATATCTACTTCCAGAGGCCACCGGAGTGACATGCGCATTGGGGGGCTTCTCTGGGTTGCAAGGAACCATCCCTGGAGATTTATAGTTCTTGGTCTGGAAGTTGTGAACGGGTATTTGGTGTAAAAGTAGAACTACAGTATAGGCAAAACGTTTTATTTCATTTTGAAGAGAGGGTTATAACCCCCAGGGGCGGACTGACAACTCATGGGGCCTCTGTGTCCTCACCCACACTCAAATCACACCCAACAAAGCCTATGAAAGGTACCAGGGACATCTCATGGGGCCCCCTGCTGACCCTGGGCCCTTGGGCAGTGCCTGATTCCCCCAATGGTCAGTCCGCCCCTGATAACCTGTCATGTTTTCTTTGCCATCTGTGTCCCTTTTCAGAGATTTCCCTTCACTTCCTGTCCCTTTATTCAAACAGGAAGTGAGAAGAAATTCCTGCAAATGAAGGGAATTCCTTGGGGACCCCCTAATCACTAGAGCTTGTGTCCCCATTGGAAGATTTCCCCTCTATTACTTTTCTGGGGACAACCCAAAATTTGGAATTTTCTTTTACTTTCCCTTTAAATGGTAACAGTAAACAGGACAACAGTAACAGTAAACAGCAATAAAAACTGACAGGGGTTCTAATCCCTCTCCTCTATCCAAAACATTAAAAAAGGTTTCCCCTTTAGTTATGCTTTAGGCTCTGTTCACACCTATGCAGTTTGCTTTTTGCACTTTTCAATACGTGTTTTTGATGCGTTTTTACCGCATTTTGCGTTTTGTTCAGCTTTTTTTTGTTTAAAGTGGATTTTTTTTTGTTGCTGGGCACAATAAAAATGCAAAATGTGGCAAAAATGCATTACTGTGCATTTCAGCAGCTTCTCCACTGAACTCTATTATAGCAAAAATGCTGCTTTTTGCGTTTTAAAAAATCCCTGACCGTTTCCAAAAATGCAGCAGCTCAGAAAATCATAGATGTGAACATGTTCCATAGGAAACCATGTTAAATGGACTGTAGTGCGTCTCTGCAAAAAGCACTAAAAAAAACACATAGGAGTGAATGGAGCCTTAACCGCCTCCCGCCCGCCATATAAGGAAATGAAGGACGGCCAGTGGTTATCTTGTTCTGGGAGGACGTCATATGACGTCATCCCACTCTAACCGCGTGTGCGCACCCCCGGGAGCATGCAGCGCGGCGATCGGTGATGCGCTCTGTTCCTGGGACACTGTGGATCACCGATCAGCGGAAAGAGCCGATGACTTCGGCTCTGTCATGTGATCAGCTGTGTCCAATCACAGCTGATCGCATGCAAATAAGGAATTGCCGGTTATCGGCATTCCTCTCCTCCCACTGATAGCTCATGAGGAGAGGAGAGCCAGTAATCGGCATTACCCAGAGGGGACATCTACACTGATCATCAGAGCACTGATGATCAGAGTAGCCCCATCAGTGCTACCTGTCAGTGTCCATCAATGCCACCCGTCAGTGCACATCAATGCCACATATCAGCACCTACCAATGCACATCAATGTCACATATCAGTGCCCATCTAAGCTTCCTTTCAGTGCCAACTATCAGTGGCAGTCAGTACCACCTATCAGTGCTGCCAATCAGTGCCGTTTATGAGTGCCAGTCGGTGCCACCTATCAGTGCTCGTCAGTGCTGCCTAACAGTGCCAGTCAGTGCTGTCTATCAGTGTCGCCTATCAGTGCCATATATGAGTACTGCCTTTTAGTGCCCACCAGTGATGCCTGTCAATGCCCACCAGTGATGCCTGTCAATGCCCATCAGTGCCACTTACCAGTGCCTCCTCATCAGTGCCCATCAGTGTCGCCTATCAGTGCCCATTAGTGCAGCCTATCAGTGCCCATCACTACAGCCTCATTATCACACATCAGTGAAGTAGAAAAATTACTCATTTACAAATGTTTATAACAGAAACTAAGAAAAAAACTTCTTTTTTTTCAAAATTTTCAGTTGTTTTTTGGTTTATTTAGCAAAAAATAAAACACCCAGAGGTGAATAAACACCAACAAAAGAAATCTGTCTCAAAAAAATGTGACGTTGAAGTCTGCCAAGAACTCCATCAGCTTGCCGTGGATGACCAATCCTTCATGTTGAGGATCATTACCAGTGACAAAACTTGGGTGTATGAGTTTCACGCAGAATTTCACGCTTGCTCTTTGTTCTAACTTGCTGTCCATGATAAAATAGCAGACGTGATAATGCACATAGTCAGAATAGCACCAGTTGCACAGCTCCCCATGTACACAGGACAATGTCTTTTGACACACTGACTTATGAAGGTCGATGCTCTCTGTGACTGTGCATGCAGCCTTGTGCTGTCATCTGTTGCCGTGTTGCAAAACGAACTAAATGAATATAGGTGGCACCAGAACAATACTAGTAATAATATTACTGTTAATTTCTATATCAATAATACCAGCTGCAAAATCTGCCCTATAATAAGGTGCATATAAATACAAAAATACACAGACTGCGCTAGTAAAAAAATAAAAGAACCCAAAAAACAAATTCCAAAAAAATCATATCAATCATATAAAGTCCCAAAAAAATATAAAGTAGTGTAGATGAAATAAATTCAACGGAATCCACCAAGTGTATCCACCACCGAATAAACTGAATAAACTCACCAGAGCAATATGCTGATCATATTATAAAACCAGCATAAACGCTTTTCTGCTCTGGGAGCAATACTCTGCAGACAGTTGAGACAAAGCTTTGTCTTGGAAAAAAAAGGATCTCCTCTACCCCTGGAGCAATACTCTGCCGGAAACTCTGTGACTCTGTAGGTCCACTTCATTCATATACCATCCTTTTTATAGGGTATTGGAATGGCCACTTGGAATATGCAAAAAACAGAAGCTCATGGTGCAGTACCTCTTAAAATCGTTGCTTTATTAAAACTAAACACACTTACAAAAAGCGGTGTCCAACCGACACCAGCACAATCAGCATAACCAGATGCAAGTAGACAGATCCAGCCTCATCGCACATGCGCTGTAGCGATCACTGAAAACGCGCTGACATCACACCACTCAAGCCCCGCCCTACGTGTTTCGTCATTCGACGTCCTCACGAAGCGGATGAGTGTGAGATGTCCTACCCTCATTATATATGCACTGCACGCGAGTCGCAACAGCTGTCAGTGATCAGAAATCATGTAACAAAACATGACAATGCCAATGACAGATCGCCACGCCACATATTCTAAAAATGTAGCATTCAAGAAACACATCATGGAGACAAGGATAACATCGAATACATATAAACATATCAATAATAAAACACATAATAACATGTATTAATCCATAGGGCATAGCAATCCACATTAGTCCAATTAAAGGGCCATGCCCCACCAGTAAAGAAGGGCTCCACTCAAAAAAAAAACCAAAAAACAGAATATATATAAAATCAAAAAATTATTATTTAAAGAAAAATAATATATTATATATATCTATATATATATATCTATCTATATATATATATATATATATATATATATATATATATATATGTATAACATGGACACCAGCCTCATGATAACATTATAAGATAGGACAATACAAAATTAAAACACTTAAAAATTTGTGAGAAAACAATTCAGGTCTATATCAATATTTAACCCATAAGGTTTCAAAGAGTTTAATTCATAAATCCAGTATGTTTCTTTTCTAGAAATCACCTTAATCAAATCAGTCCCTCTCCAGTGGGGCTTTACCAAATCTATCCCATAAAAGGTTAACAACCTGGGATCATAATTGTGTACCAACTTAAAGTGCCTTGAAACACAATGTTTCTCAAAACCCTTTTTTATGTTTCCTATATGTTCTCCTATTCTAGTTTTTAAACATCTGCTCGTTCTACCAATATATTGAAACATGATACCAAGGGGTTACAGACCCCAAGGGCTCGTTCACACTTGACTGTTTTAACAACTCTTGCCAAACGCCCCTATAGCGTTTGGCAAGCGTTGGTCCAGCATTTGCGGAGCGTTTTTTAATGCTCGGCAAACGCTCCGCAAACGCCGCATGCGCGGTTCAGCGGCGGTTGCTAGGCATTTGTGGAGCGTTAAAAAACCCCACAAACGCCCCACAACCGCGTCACAAACGCACCGCAAAACGCCGGCCGGGGGCGATTGCGGAGCGGCACCATAGACTAGAATAGGAGGCTTCAACGCCTCCGGACTCAATCAGAGGCGTCCGTTTTGCCGCACCGCGCCGCAACGCTACCACTCCTGTTAGAACAGCACCATGTGCTGCAATGCGCAGAATTGTCCGAGGCATTTGGGAAGCGGTAAAAATGCTTCCCAAACACCTTTCTGCCGCTTGAAAACAAGGCTAGTGTGAACGTAGCCCAAGAGAGGGATTGGAGAGAACAGGGGAATTATGGCAGAGGAGAAAGAACAGAAGATACAGAGAAAAGAGAGGAGGCAGGAGACAAAAAGAGAAAAATAGAATATTAGGTAATGGGATTTATAATTTGAGTGATGTTGTGTTTACTGAAAAAGAGATGAAGGTATTGGATCTTGGATTGAAATTTGTTCCAAAAATTGATCTTAATAAACTTGATGTTTTTATTGATGTTCAAAAATTTGTGAGAAAAATTATATATTAAAACATTTTTTTAATTAAATGATGCTAAAAAGAGTTTTGGTTATCCCTCTTCTAAGGGCTTTCATAATAATGGTTTTCAAAATAGTGGTTTAAAAAATACTTCTACATTTAATCCGAAGAACTCTGGTAATACCTTTCTGGAAGTCTTTTAAAACATGGTTGAGAATAATATAAAAAATTGGAA